CCTCTGCAGTAATTGGAATTTAATAAGGGTAGGCTGTAGTGAAGAGAGAGCTTTCTAGACGCGTATGGAGTAGAAGCTGACTGGAAAGGTAAACTCTTGTTTAGCCTTTTACTCTAAAAAGACACCGAAAAAACACTAAAATTAAGTTGGTAAACTGACTTCCCAGAATAACATATAATTAATTTTTATAAGTGAATGTTCTGGAATTATGAACGCCAAAAGTGTCAAAAAAACCTTCAAAGACCAGGTGGAGTATAGAGAAGGTTTCCTACTACAGGAGTCTTTTCCTTTGCTCTTGTGCATTGTGCTTAGATTTTTCTTGCTCATCTTCCTACCATTTCTCTTTGGTGATGTGGTTCTTCTGACGGGTATGACAACGAATAGAAATTCAGGAGGTTGTGTACTGCAGTCTTAATGTGTGGATTAACCCCCTTTCCCAGGGTGTGCACTGGCAATGAATAAAACATTAGCTGCGTATGTTCACCTAATGATCAGCCCTTAGCTATTGGCATCCAGAGTTTCTGGCTGAGTTTAGCAGTTGGCATCCACTGACAAGAACAGACAGGTTTTTACAGGTTTTTCTTTGGTGTTATCTTAAAACCAAAAAGATCTCTGCAAACAATTATTCTTTCTATATTTGTGTGCTGGTCTGTTCAGCGAGAGAAGGAGATGGGAGATGAGTGTTCTGGCAGAGGTCCTGTAGCCATATGTGTAATGCCACTGGAACCTCCTGGGAAATACCAACTAAACTGAAAGTTAGGTGCGTGACATACAAAGCGCTGTATGTAAAAGGTAATAAGTATATATTATAATTATATATATATGATGGCAGTTTGGTTGTAAATGATAACATAAAAATGCCAGTTGCTAACAAGATGACTCAGCACACTTAACATTTTTCATCCAGATCCATGTGTGTTTCTTTAAAATACCATTTGTTAAAAATAATTTTGCAAATTATTTGCAGAGAAGCTGGAGACAGAGGAATTAGAGGCCAAGGCAATGGTTGGCAGAGAAAGGGATGAGAAAGGGGTGGGGGTAGTGGGTCCAAACTGCCATTGCTTTAGGTACAGGTGTTACACATGGACAGGTCTGTACTGCTACTGAATAACAGGAGCCTGCATAGAAATGTGGTCATCAGCACTTTAATGTTCTCATAGAAGAAATCAATAGAATTCCATGATTCATTCTCAGAAACAATTCTGTTCAAAAGAGAAGAACACTTTATTTTTACAGGACATTGGTAAAACCGTATATTCCTTCTAGTTTGGGTTATTTGTTTTCAAATTAAGCACTGAACTTACGGGAGGTAAGTCTCTTGGAGGCGATATTTCACTGATGCA